AAATTTATTTAAAAATTCTTAAGACATAATATCCAATAATAAATGGAAAAATAAACAATGCTTATATGTATGAAGATTCATGTAATGTCAGTTAATGTTTAGATTCAAAACAATTCCACCAAGATTGCCTTGTAGGTCACTTTTCAATGAATGATGCTGGAACAGTTTATTGTGTCTATGGGGAAAACTTACATTATACACAAATACTAGTTCCAGAGTTAGCCATTGTGAATGCGTTCAAGCTGGATCCCTTGTCCTTCTGACACATCTTCATAAATTGTTTAGTACTTCCTTATATTATGGCTCAAAAAGATGCTCCAGGCTCATCTTGATTTTCCTTGCCCCAGCCCTGGAATCACCATTTTTCCAAGGATCCCTGATTCCTTTTAGTGGAGAAGGTATTTAGAAACTAAGACTTGAGTGGTAGGTATACTCATTGCTACCAGTATGTCCTTGCTTCTAGGTCCTTTCACTGTACATATGCGCATGCAAACGTGTGTGTATGTATGCAATTGTGATTTCATAACCATAGCTCCAATTCCAGTCCAATGCTATAGAAAGGCAGACTGTCTGGGTACCCTAGGACTCAAAGAAAAACACAGTAGGCTGCTATCTCCTGAAACTTCATCTAGTGGCACAAGGCACTTGGAGAGTGGATCCAGGAAAATACTCTCCATCTTATGGGTCTGGTATGTACTATCCCCCTCCAGGGAGGCTGCCCATGTAAGTGGTGCCAGAAAGGATCAAACAAGAGCCCTGCCCACACTAGTCAGGCCAGAAAAGAGCTGTCTTCCCCCCACAAGCCTGGTGTCTCTCACCTTCCACCTAGTAGCAACAAAACTTGGGAATGTGTTTTTCCCCCATGGGCAGCTAAAGTGGGGACTGAGATGGAATACTATGGCACCAGGTGAGTTAAGCTGACCAGAATATCACTGCAAAGGCTCTGAAAACTAAATTACTGGACTATGGTACACAGAAGTAGGCTAGCACTTGTATGCTAAACCTAAATAAGGTGACTGCATGCTAATATGGAATAATAAAATAGGATTCACAGTCTCCCATATTATATCCAAAATGTACAGGCAGTAGAAAAACTATCATACCAAGAATAAAGAAAAGAACAACCTGAGTGAGAAAAGAGAATCAACAGATGTCAACACTGAGATGAATAGGATGTTGGGATTGTTTGAAAAGGGTTTTAAAGCAGTCATCATAAAAATACTCCAGTGAGCAATTTTAAATATTGAAAGCAAATGAAAAGATTAGAAAATCTCATCAAAGAAATAGAAACTTAAAAAAATAAAACAACTTGGAGATCATAGAACTGAAAAATACAATAGCTAAAATAAAAAATTCAGTAAATGGGCTTGATAACAGAGTGAGTATGACAGGAAGCAATCAGTGCACTTGAAGATAGCATAATATTATAGAAATTACCCTATCTAAACTGAGAGAAAATAGACTGGAAAAAAATGACAGAGCCTCAGGGACCTGTGGGGCAATAACAAAAGATATAATATTTGTATCACCAAAATTTCAGAGGGAATGGACAAAGAGAGTGGGGCTGAAAAGTATTTGAAGAAGTAATAGCTAAAAACTCCCCAAATTTGGCAAAAGACATAAACCTGCAGGGTCAAGAAACTGAGCAATTCCCAAGTAAGACAAACCCAATGAACCCATGCAAGATACACCATAATTAAACTTCTGAAAACTAAAAATAAAGAAAAAATATTGAAAGCAGGCAGAGAGAAACGACACATTACCTATAGGACAAAACTGATTTTAATTAGAGTAGACTTCTCCTCTGAAATTATGGAGGCCAGAAGGTTGTGGCACAACATTTGTCAAGATGAAATACTTCAGTGAAAGTATCCTTTGGGAACAAAGGAGAAATAAAAACATTCTCAGATCAAGGAAAACTAAGATAATCTCTTGCTAGCAAAGAAACCCTTAAAGAATAGTTAAAGTTCTTGAAACAGAAAAGAAATGATAAAAGAATCTTAGAATATAAGAA